ATTCCAAGTATCAGACATCCAAGTATATTTTATAATATTTTTAAAGTCTTAATAATAATGTTAAAGATTGTATTATTATATAAAAAATAAACTTATCTAAAAATAAATGAGAATATAAACGAGTTTAAACCGTCATTTTTGAACAATCAACTTACCGCTCGAAATAGAACTTAAAAAATATCTCGATGACGTAGGTCCACATTCCAATATATTGACATTATATTATCTTTTGTTAGGCGCCAATAATAAGGAAAAACACATATTTAAGGTGAAATCTTGCAAACGGGTTAAAATTCAAAATTTGCTTGACGAAACCTTAATGGCTATTCATTCCATGAATATTGTTGTTTCTACTTATTAATATATATAATATTTGAAACATACCTGGCAAAAGTAAAAAACCTCACGGATAGGAATATTTGATATTAAATAATACTTTTGTCTAAGGTCACAGATGCCAACCCCAGTCTTGTGTAATAGTCTAGCATTCGTAATGATTACAACATAAGTTACGGAAGAGCTTGACGCAAGTAAATTGTACTAACTTAAATCGGGCCCAAAATGCGCAAAACTTAAACATCTACATTAATATTATAAAGAGGAAAGATTTCATTGTTTGTTGCTGAACCAAAGGTGTGAAAAAGACCGATAAAGATTCCTTAATTGAATACGCTGCGAAAACTATTGACAATAGAGGAAAGTGATGTAACACAGTGTTAACACACATCGATATCTACAAAAACCTACGCCATACCATATGCCCAACAAAAAAAAAAAAAATTTTTGCATTTAAAAGTCGTGATAAGCTTTTGGATATAGACCATCGTACTACTATCTAACTAATGCGGGTGGAACCGCAGAGCACATCTACTACAGCTTAAAATAAACAATTTAGATTTTTTTTTTCTTTATAGCACTGTAGCAACAATCAGTAAAAATCAAATTAAGTCGCACGATTCATTTGAATTTATGTAAAGTACTAACTTTGGAAGTACGCTATCTTAAATTTAGGAATATGTTCCAAAATCACCCTACTGGCTACTGCTGATATTATTCAAAGTTATAAGCATTAAATATTAACGGTTAACTTTCACGAATCGAAACATTACACCAATTACATTATCATCAGATAATATCATATCTATCTAACCAAAACATAAACAATACAGCCTACAAAGGTTTTTATTAGGTCAATACTCTCCAAAAGGATCCGTTTAAATTAAATCTTATTACGACCAACTTGAACCGGATCTACTGTGGTGTTCCCAACATAAACTGAATAAAAAATATCCCACGCACCAGGGTAACCAGGCGTTGATGATTTTGTGAATATTCATGAGAAGAACTGAGGTTTCAGTAAATACAAGCGAGAAATTATAATGTTACGTTTTGTATAACTTGAATAGATTTGAACGTTATAAGCATATTAAATACTGCTGAACACACAACTATACAAATTTAATACTGCTGAACACAACTATAAAAATGTAATAGTGTTGAACACACAACTATACAAATTTAATACTGCTGAACACAACTATAAAAATTTAATACTGCTGAACACACAACTATAAAAATTTAATAGAGCTGAACACACAACTATAAAAATGTAATAGTGCTGAACACACAACTATAAAAATTTGATAGTGCTGGACACACAACTATACAAAGTTAATTCTGCTGAACACAACTATAAAAATTTAATAGTGCTGGACACACAACTATAAAAATTTAATAGTGCTGGACACACAACTTTAAAAATTTAATAGTGCTGAACACACAACAATAAAAATTTAATGGTGCTGAACTTTATGATATAGGGGCTAGGTATAACACAATTCTTTAAAGACTTAATTAAGTAAAAGAGTTTATTTTATGTTTGTCTATAACTGTTTATTAGCCTGATTATGCTAGATTACATTAAAATAACTTATCAATACATCCTTATTAACGCACTAACATACGAAACAGAGCTCCTCTACTTCTTTCGAAATTAAAAATATTTTGGGTAGTTAAAATTTTCGCAATTAAAAATATTTGCCCAGCTTTGAAAACTATGAAAAAGAATCAAAAAAGCGTAAACATGCCTGGCCTAAATGCATTTTCATACTTCACCAACTAGATTATTAACGCTTGAGTGGTCATGAGAACTTTTTTAAAATAAAAGACCAAAAATCTTAAATTTTGAAGCACCTTAGTCACCCTACACAAGCGTCTTCATTTGCGGAATGCAAATCCCGAACATTGGAGTATGCAGCGTTTAGATCTGGTTTCTTATCAGAGATGGTAAGCAGGTAAGTGGGGGTTTCTGAAAGTATTCAGGTCGCGTAACAATATTTCTGATTGCATGTTACAGTGGAATGAAAATTTGTAGTGTATCTGCATTGATGTTATCAGATCAAAATCAAAATTTATTTAATCATTTTGGCCTCTATATAGATGAACGTTACTTTTAAAAAAAAGGAAAATCTAAACTCCAAAATCAAGGGGGTAGAACTGGCAAGGAACTTTTCCCCACTCTTAATCGCTAAGTTTGATGTTCGCCAATAAACAATGATAGAATATGCAGTGTCTGCAAGTTTTATCCATCGACATGTTTTGATAAACATACATTATTAAAGGTGCTTAAAATACCATGATAGGTCTGCGGCCTATACCAACCCAAGATATATCATCCAAACGAAAGTATCACTTTTTTTTTTTTTTTTTTTTTCAATAATAATTTAATGTTTAGTCACATGTTAGTTATAATTTTCACTTACGAACTAAATATTATAATGAGACAATCTCCGTCGAATGCATGCATGCATCGCATATAGACGCAGCCCTTTTCTACCAGATCTAGGATAAATAGTCAATTGGCTCGGAAAAGATTTCATATGAGATACGACCAATTTCGCAGTTGCAAAAGATTAGCTTTTTTAGATAAACACAACATTCTGAAAGTATTATAAAAATACAATTAGGAAACTTTTTATTATTTATTCTTTATAGACATTATGACTTCGTGCTTTGCTTTAATACATGATTTAAAAAATCGTTTTAAAATTATAACTCTAGGAATAAAAAAATTATTACTCATTTCGTCTAAATTGCAGAAACAGTCAAGAACAATCAGTCACGTATACATTAGTCCAAACTTTTTGTTTAAAACAATTACGAAACATGACTCGCAGTTCAGACTTTTGACTAATACCTACTTATTCTCATACTGAGTTCATTTTTAATAATATACTTGAGTCAATCGAATTTTAATAAATCATAATTTTCTTCTTCAATTTGTGATATAGTACTGCCAAAATGCAGTGTACGGTTCCTGGCTCAATGGGGTGCTTTAAATAATAGAGGATTATTTACACTATATTAACCACTCGCGTACAACAATAGAATATTAAGCGGAATAATGAAATGTTAAATTCTATGTAACGAATTAATGCAATGTAACAGTTGAAGAGAGTCTACTCCTAGGTCTAGCTATGCTCTCGGGGCGTAACTCTATTTAGGAAATCGCCACGCTTATAAAACTAAGAAAGCCTGAGGGAGCAAAATGTACAGCCTTGGCTAGTACATGCAGTTAAATTAATAATGACTATGACACTAAATTGATTAATAATACTTCAAGTATTTTGATGGCATAACTCTCATCCCTGAAGTAGTAGGTTCGATCTGCGGCTGTACGCTTTTGGATTTTCTGTCTATGTGCGCATTTAATACTTGCTCGTCAGTGACAATTGACAAACATCGTGAGGATACCGGTATTTCTCAGGACCAAAGTCGACGGCATGTGTCAGGCGCAGAAGAGACACGTTAGAAGAAAACGGGTATAGAAATTGAGGCCCTGACATTGGCTAGAATGAGTGGTATAGTACCCGTCAAAGTCAGTTTTGATAGCTCCATTCTACCTTCATACAATTTGTATACTACACAATACATATACGAGATGTCCGTTAAGTTAAATACGTCCATGGAGCGCAGCTTCTATTTCATACAAAAATAGTATCGGAATTCTATTTAAGTATTTAATTTTGTGAATTGTCCGTGTATGTGTGTGTATTGAACTTCTGTTCACCAAATCTAAGGACATTAACTCACGGATCTGTGAATTGGTAATAATATAAGTGACGTTTGTTTACATCGTGGTGATGAATCACTTGTATTTCCCAAAATTCTTTAGCGTCGCGACCTTCATTAGGCCGTTTATACACGATACGACGCTTTCATTCGTTGTTGTCATAAATCTTCAAATTATATTTGACCTTGAGCTTTTTATTAATTAATAAGCCAGAGTTTATATTATAGCGACGTAAACGTTTATTAACTTTTACTCATAATTCGAAATTCAAATTATTTACATTGCCAATTCATTTCCTCTTTTGTCCTTTACATCTATTAATCATTAAGAAGAGGTCGCTACCCACGTGATTATTTTTTGACATTAAGAACCCTATTAAATTTTAGATATGGATTAAAATCCATAAACACCAGTTAGTAACAAAATGCAGTTAATAGTACCAGTGCTCATAAAATTATAAATTCAAGGTCCGAAAACGTGGAAGAAAAAAAATTAAATGACTTCCTTCGAATTTGAATACGAACAATCATATTGAATATATTAAACATTATCAAAAATGGGTTTTGTTATATATGCGGATTTAAAATATAATTGAGGTTAACCTGGTATTAAACGCCAAATAAATCCATCAGATTTCGTGTTTCCATTATTTTTAATGAGATTAAGTAATAAATGAAAATTAATTTCGCGTAAATCGCGAGAGGTAATTGCGTGGGATGATAAATTATATTCTGTACTCAACCGCAATATCTGAGAAAAACATTGTGCTATTATATCATGACGTGGGATTGCTATGACCACTATTTGCGACGTAGTCGACCGGTATGTATACGGCCGATTAAGCATAAAAACATGTGTAAGATAGCCAAGTAGCCAGTCTCGCTTGATACATCTTAACGGACGAAGTCTTCACTTGGTGTCAGTAAAAATGGTGTCTAGGATTATGTGTATCACATTGTTAGTGGCTGTTGCAAGTGGTGCAACGTGGCGTGGCAAGCTTCCCCTAAAACCAGAACATCTTTGTAAGTATCTTTATCTTCTTGACTTGAAAAAAAAACACTTTTTGTTAAGGTTTTTATATACTACGTTTGTTTGTACGTGAAGTCATGTTATAAGGAAGATCAAAGTTGATAGGTGATATGCGGAAGTACTCTTCAAACTATGAATTTTTAAATTTCGAAACATTTGAATCGCTTCCGGTAAATCATTAATGTTTGACAACTTATTATATGTAATATATAAAATAAAGAGTCACACATGTCGCAGCACTAGTACCTAATCGAATAATATAATATTTACTTTAGTTATTTTAGTTTCGTTTAGTTTCTATAACAAGTAGAATGCATTTCTGTGTATTTTTACTGTGAGTGATTATTTTAAAACATATTATACTAATAGTGCATACTATTAGATAACGGTGGTAAATTTGAATAATAAAAATATAAATTTTATCCATAAAAACATTTTGTATAAAAATAATAATTTACGTATTTTTCATTTTTCAAATTGGTCAAGCACTTTCGTAGAAGTTTGCTTACAAATATTGTGTCACGAATTTTACATACAAAAAGGAAATATTTGTATGTTTCAAAAAATATTTTGTCATTAGAACTACATTATACACGCGAGATATTTAAAAAAAGGCCGTATATAAATTACTTCACGTTCATAAAAAGAACAACAAAAATTGTCTAAAAACAAATATTGTCTTGTTCAAGCTTTTAGTATCGTGTATAAACAAACAAAAATATTCTGACCTTTAACCGCATTATACAAAACGCAGTTTTTTTATAATTTGCTAATCAGCTTTAAATGCGTCATGTAAATAAAATATCCCACATTCCTTATGTTTTTACGTAAAAACGTAAGAAAATCTATTCGGAACACAGTTTAATATGTAATTTAAGATACTGTATTTAACGTTATTGCGATTTCAACACGCCTTGTATAGTCACTAAAGATGGTGTAATGAGAGATCAATGTAATTGTATAAATTAATTAAATATAATAAGCTGTATTTAATTTTAATTAATTACAATACAAATTACAGAGATTAAAATACCATTCAGTGTAAGATATTGCGACGTCGTATACTTCGTAGAAGCTTCGAATATTTTTGAATTTAGAATGTGGCCAAACACGAGGTAAAAGAGTTTATAGTCGTATTTGAATTTAGAATTTTCTAATTTAAGAAACAATTTTCCTTATTTGTACTTCCTTTAAACATATCGTGGTAGGGCTTGAACTTAGGAGTCATGGAAATAATTTTGGAATTAATATGGATGTATTAAAAACACAACAAGTGTTTTCTTTCATTTTGAATATGGAATTTTTTTCTTCAATTTGTGCCCTTATTGTATTAAATGTAAACATTAAAAGGTCGAATTACGTTGTTCATTTTAAATATCTAACGAACAAAAAAAGTTTTTTTAAATTTAGAAAATGACGAATACCTTGAGTTTGTATTTCCTTAGATCATGTTCTTGTAGTGCTTGAACTTTGGGGTCATGTACTATTGCTATCTGTCATTCCGATAATCGTGAGGAAAGGTCAAGTACTTGTACTAATTGGGTAGCCATCGGACCTGATTATTGTGAAGGTTATTTCGAATTGTGTATTTAAGAGTATTTATTTCTGGTAATGCATTTTATCAGCGCAGGTTTTTATCGCAACAGTTGGCGTAATTAATCGATTTACAGTAGTAAAGTAATAGATTTCGATTACTTTAATATTTTAATTTTACCTATTGTTGCGGAAATCTTAATATATATAAATTACGCGTCACATTGTTTGTCCGCTATGGACTCCTAAACTACTGAACCGATTTCAATCAAATTTGCACACTGTGTGCAGTATCATCTAAATTAAAAGATAGGACAGCTTACATATATATAATTCCACTGTACGTGTATATATCACTGAAGTTCTCTTCAACGGCTGGACCGATTTGAATGAATTTTTTTGTATGTGTTTGGGTGGAGCCCAGGATGGTTTAGATTCACAAATCAGCCCAGCAGATGGCACTGCAGTCGGTACTTTTATACTTTGTTTAATATCCTAATCGCTTGAAATGTCATGCAGGACAACGTCTGTGGGGTCCGCTAGTATAAACATAAAATACAAAAGGTAGTTGTTATATTCCTTAAGGAAATCGTTTATATAGTATTAGATTCAAAACATAACCAATTTTCAAATGTTTTGAGGCTAAGATGTAAAACCCTCTCTGGTTGAAGTTGCCGGGATGACAATGTGTGACAATTATTACTTGACTTTATGAAAGGGACGAATATGTCTGGTTGTGGCATTTCAAATACAACACGTTTCGAATTGATTTTTTTTTAAAGACAATTCACACCAATTGACCTAGTCCCATGCTAAGCTGGTGAAGCTTGTGTTATGGGTACTAGGCAACGGATATATATACATATTATAGATAGATAGGCATATAAATACATATTTAAACACCCAAGACCTAAGCACAACACCAAATGCTCATCACATCGATGTTCGTCTCAGCCGGATCGAACCCGGGACCCATGGACTCGCAGTCAGGGGTACTAACCACTAGACCAATGAGTCGTCACAATTGTTATTGGCATGATGTAAATAATTATATATAGACGAACCAAAGCAAGAATATTTCCCAAAAGTAAAACGTTAATTCAGCTATAAAACTGGTAGAAAGGGTAAAAATCCACTAAAGTAAGGTAATATGAAAAAAATGAAAGAAGTCATTATCTCCCCGGAATATTCATCGCTCATTGATCGGCGTCGGATGGCATTTTTCAAGCAATTACACGAAATAAATGGCGACAGAGCGGCGCCGTGATTTTAACAACTATCCAGATTTTCAAGAGATTATCTTAAACGTATATTTACATATTAATAGAATTATATAAAGTAACGACTTGTCTAGTCTGGCGCCAATCTATGTAGCTTTGTTTTTTAATATGCAAATTTATGTTTAAATGATATTGCGAAATACGTAAATGGGTGAGCTTTTAGAGATGGATATTTTACATAATGTATTTTTAATATTTTCTATGAAGTTTATCGATTGATATGTCGACTTCCCGGAAATGAGTTAAAGATATTCGTTTGACGGTTAATAGGTTTATATATACTGTTTTTATAAAAATAGTGTATTGTTAAAATTGTTTGTGGATTTTTTATTTCAAATAGACAATCACATTGTCATTGACTTGTCAAAGTAGTCAGTGTTCTCATCTGTTGGGTCAATTAAATTAGTCTTAAGGAAATTAGTTTTTTCTTAAATAGGAGTGTCCCGTAGTTCAGTACGCATTACTTGAAGTAATGCTTATCACCTCGACGTCCGTCGTTCCAAAACTGAGCGTTTTTAAGGCAGTTTTTGCCGCGTACCACCACTTTGTGGAACCAGCTACCCACTGAAGTATTTCCGAACCAATTCGTCTTAGAGTCCTTCAAGAAAAGAGGGTACCAATTCTTAAAAGGCCGGCACTTGCGAGCCTTCTGGCAATGTGAGTGTCCATGGGCGGCGGTATCACTTAACATCAGATGAGCCTCCTGCGTTTGCCTCCTATTACATTAAAAAAAAAAGTGAAAAGCTTGTTTCTGTTAAAATTAAAATATGTGAAATAAGGGCATACGACAGAGGTCACTTTCGCATTTATAACGGTCGTTATTTATTTTCTCTTGTACTAAATATACCTAAATATCCTTCTGAATTCCACCAACCTACAACTTTCAACAGTAAAAAGATCCCACTTCAAATGTAGTTCAAAAAATTTACTTGCACTATTTTTAACGAAACGAAAATAAATATTTTTATTTTTGATTATTCTATCCATTGTGGTTACCACTATTATCAGATCAAGTTAAGTAACTTATGATGACTTGATGGTTATAAAATATTAGGTTAAAGTATAATCCGCCCGATCTCGTAAAGCCGATTCGTACACGATCAGATGGAAAAGGGCTCAGTACATACAGGAAAAAAGTTCGCCAACACAAAAAGTGACTGTGTTTTAAAGGGAATCGTTGATAGTGTATTCTATTCTTAGATGTTTATCTTATTAGATGTATTCTATATACAGCCTATCAACGATTAGGGTTGCCATGGATAAAAATATGTAGTTAAAATACTAATATTGTGTTTCAGTAAAATTTAAAGGATCTGTAGATTTTTACTCAAAATGTATATATTTTTAACTTTAGAAACGAAAATAATATTTGTTGTTTATTTAGACTTCCAAGCCTTATCAAAATTGGATTAATTTTTCTATATCCCTTTTCTTCTTATTAAAATAGTCTCTCTCTTTTCAGTACATAAAGAAGGGTGTTATGTGAAGGAGATTGGTGACGTCATCCCCTTCGGCGAATCAGTGTCTCCTTTGGGCATCTGCTATCGAATTGAATGTAGTCAGCGCGAAATCAATTATTCTACGTAAGTATTTGAAACCTTTAAGTTCAGTTACAGGTTGTATTGGCAAAATATTCTTATTATATAGGATAAAGGCAAAAATATCAAAGATAAATTTAATTTAAAAAAATAAAATAAAATTGTGAAACAAACCAGGAAGCATTCTTCCTGGATTGTTTCACAAAACAAACAAGGAAGTTCTTCGCTGGTAATAATAATATGAAACGTTTTTGACCACATCCCTTACCCTCTGTCAGGTTATATCAATCATATATATTAATAGCGCCTGTTTTGATCAGTGGTTCAGGCAAGAACATATTAATTTTAGCATTTCTCTGACATTAACACCCGCTCTTACGGTGAAGGAAAACATCGTGAGGAAACCAGACATGTCTTACTCCCAATATTCAACGTTAGGTACAAAATTTCACTTGCGACTACAGAATCTGAGGCCCAGACCTAAAAGTTCAACCTTATAGATACTACTGGTTATTTGATTTTTTATGAGGTTTTTGGAGAAAGATATAGAAAGTAGTCTGATTTGATTTGTAATAAATATTTCTTTTACAGGTGTGGTGGCATCTCAGTAGTAGATTCACCTAACTGCTATACTACGGATATAGATCTAAGCCAGAGCTATCCCAGCTGCTGTCCAGATGTCAAATGTGACTTTGACAATAACCTTATTTAGTCAGCATGAGTTTACCCTGGTCGAAAGCACATTCAAACAAGTACAAAACATGTGACCCAATGAGCTCGATTGAATTTTTTGGTACTTCCAAATATGTGGACAAATTGATGAAGGGTTCATAGACTGACTATTTGTACTGTTTAGGAGTTCAGAAGGACCATTTTTGTAGCAGCGCAGTTGCACCGATATTTTGTAAATCTTCACATTTGCCTTTTAAGTTGTCAGCTTGATTACTAGCGATGTTATAGTACGTCGGTCTAGTCCAGGGTTTCCCAACGTGCCCACTCCCCACAGGGGGGTAATTTCAATTGTTAAGCGGGGCTTTTCTAAAATTAATTAAATTATTTAGAATTTCTATTATTTATTATGTTTTGAAAATTTACTTACTGTGTTTCGGAAGGCTATGGTGGGGCACAGCACAAAAAAGGTTGGGAAACACTGGTCTAGTCTTATCTTAATTTTTGCGAAGTATTTAACGCTGTTTAGAAATTAATGATATTACAGCAGTGCTTACGTGCAGCACTAAGAATTTTCTATATGGACGTACTTTGTATTGGCAGTAATCGAAAGTAAAAATTATATGAAATATGTTGATCTCCGAGGTGTCGTCATAATGACATCGTGCATTAATAATAGTCGTCTATTATTAATGCACGATATAATCCAGAGGTAATAGACACGATTTCGCGAAACAATAATTGGTCCAGATTGGTGGAACTTTTTGGACTTGTCAATTATTATCTATGTTTATATTCTGTTATCGTTGCTTTTAATATGTCAATCTGTGTGAGACCAGGATTGCTCAAACCACCTTAACACTCTCAATTACTCATTGAAGACAATTTTTCTTATGTACACGAAAAATTGGTAAATTATGAGATTAATTGAGAGACTATCGAGATTTTATAAGTGTTATTGATAAGAGTTCCTTAGAAGAGTTAGAGATACATAGCTATCGTCCGACTCAAGACGCTATCTTGCCACCAAATTATTGTTATTTATTTTATTAGTTGTAAATTTAAGTGTAATTGTGGCTTTGGAACACATATTCATAAGCGTATATACCAATGTTTTGTCTTTATCACACGCGTTACTGTGCTAATGAATAAAAGAGACAAAAATATTACGTTGATGAATAAAAGTGTTGTGTTTAGATGTATTTTTTAGATATAATAAATTTTATAAATATATTTGTCTTTTATTATGTTAATGAGTCTAGTGTAGAGCGTTCAAGTATTACGTCACGCAATTTTTGGAGATTATTGACACCCCCCCATGTAACGCGCCGTATACCTACGGCTGTTAATCATTGCAGTTCATTAATTATTTCCATACGTTGTGTCATGTGTGCTTTTTTCGAGAGGTTAGTTTGGTGAGGGCTGAGTCAATAGTAACGGCGGTAGATGTCGCCTCCTATCGTAACCATCAGGCACCCTGAGGCCTAGGCGCTACAGCACTGTCGGATTTCTTTACTTTCCATGTAATAACTTTAGCAGATACGATCGGTGCATTCTGAGTTCGTTGTAGACTACACAGCCTTGCGATTCTGTAACTCACTTTTCGAACTCTCACAGCGGTTTTCGCAGCGGCGGTCGCGCTCAAATCAGTCGTGAAGTTTACGATTTGGCATTCTGATAAACAATAAACTACACGCTCCGTCCGCTTATCAAGACGTAATGTGAAATTGCTTAACAGAATCCCATGAGATTCCAAAAATGGAAGGGAGCGTTGTTAGTGCGAGGTGAACTCACGGATTAACAGAATCGCACGGCAGAACCTATTAACAACAGCTTATTGATGACGTTGACTTTGTTGGATATCGGTTCGAACAAAGTTGGATACCTGTAATTATGTTTAAATACTCTTTGATACTTGCATATCTTAGTTGTATCGATACCTCTACTGCTACAATCACTGCGATAAGCATACCCTGAAACTCACTATGAAAGTTATTCCGACAACTAAGGATATACACAACTTCCCGACCTTAGCCGCTGCGGTCTTCGGACCAGTTAAACTGATCAAGGATACTTTAGGTCAGGTGAAGTGCACACCTTTCCCCCAAATAGGCATCCACATTGTCATCAGTTTATTTATTTTTCTTTGTACAAATGAAAACGATAAAGATTTGTCACGGTAATAAATCTAAAGCTGAGTACAACGACCGGCTTTATCCCTTAAAAGGTAAACACGTGCTAAAAGACAGGTAAGAGTAATACAGATAAGTGCTAACAGAACAGAAGAAGCAAAAGTAAATTTAACAATCTTAATAAAAATGTTATAATCATATAGTTGTATTCAACTCCTGGAAACCAAGGACCTATTGAGAAGATTGAAAAGGACGAAACCGTTTGAATTAGTGAAGTGAGTGCATGTTAGTGTTAAACAGTGGTAAGTGGAAAAAAAAAGCGTGCGTGTACTTATGTACGCGCGTAAGAAGTTATACTTCTTTGGCATTATTAAAAATAGTTTTTGATTGCATGCAAATAATTAATTACAATTAAAAAATCAAAGACTGGAAAAGGAGTCATTATAGTCAATAAAGTTCAGTTTACATTTGAAAAATTATATAAATAAATATTTATTATTATTCTCTTACATGAAGTGTAACATAAATTCTATTATTATTCGAATGTTGTTTTTAAATTATGTCCAATGCCGTAGCATCTTCCGTGGGCAACTTAATTCTGTTAATTTTGTGTCACGGTGCGCGCGCATCGTAAAATTTCACTCTCATCAATTTTTCCTTTTTTTTTTTAAATATCCTGTACGAGCCAAGTACAGTTTGCTCACTCAGGCTTTCTTAGTGTTATAAGCGTGGCGATTTTCTAAATCGTGGGAGTTACGCCCCGAGAGAATAGCCAGACGTAGGCACACTCTACTCTCACGGTTACATTGCATTCATTCGTTTCATAACATTTCACTAATAATTAGCTACCCACGACACAGGGAATCTTAGGCTAGGGCTAGTGCAGTTTCTTTTCACCTAGTTTTTTCTTTCTTTCTTTTTTTAATTAGGTATTACTATTTGAAGCACAACAAGACGAACGCTCGCTATTGTTTACGGGGTACTTCGTTAGAACAGTATTCGCTTGTTTTGAACTAAGAGAGAATGTAACAATGTGCCAATTTCCTTTTTAAATGTAAAACGAAAACGACAATCGAAGAACCTTTACAATTTATATATTGTCAAAGCAAACATCGAATAGTGTAAAAGAGACAAAGCAACGTTCATTCTTTTGAGAGATAAAAGGTATGTACCGAGTTTCAGTTGATGTAAATTTATATACGTCGACTTTATTTTGTGTATTGCAGTGTGAATTCACAAACGGGCTGCATTTCACGGAGAGAGTACATTTTGAAAATAAACGACTATGATATTGAGGTTTTCATCTTTTGGTTACTGGTTTGAATTTAAATTTAGAATGAGCTTGGACGAGAGCAAAGTGGCTTAATGGTTTGAAAAAAGAATAAGAATAGTATAATGGACATAGAAAAAGATCTAAGAACTGTGGTAGTTTGTAGTTTTTGAAATACTATGCTTAATGCTACACTGATGATATTGAGGATTGCTTGAAAAAATCTTTTGGGTACTGTAGTTCGAAATTTAAATTAATAATATCTAATCCTACTAGATTGTCAGTTTCATTTTAAATGTAGAATGCGTTTGGACGAGAGCAAAGTGGCTAAATGGTTTGAAAAAAGATTAACAAAAGTATAATTGACATAGAAAAACTTCTCTAAAATATGTAAGAACTGAGGTAAGAGGTGGAAAGTAAACCACTATGATATTGAAGATTGCTTGAGAAAATGTTTTGGGTACTGTGGTTCGAGATTTAAATTAAGAATATGTTTGAATACAGATGGCAAAGTGGCAGATGAAATTTGACTGTAATTTTGAAATAAGAATTATGAATTCGAAGTTTAAAATGATCATTATTCTAAAAGTATAAGCTGATTGTTATCCACTGATGTATATGTATATTTAATACATTTTTTATATGTTAATAGTAATTAAAGATATTTGCTAAAAATTTACGCCTTATCAAAACTAGTTCTACAGTCGAAGATCTTAATTAATTTTCTTACAGGCGCTACTAATACGTTATAAGAAGCCTTATTAATAAAAAGTCACATTTAAATATTTAAATAAAATTACTTTAACTTTTATGATCTATTCACCGCATTATTAAACTATTTTATGAGACAATTATGAAGAGCTCATTTGACATATTATCGAGCGGGAAATACAAAAAATGGTGATATAGTAATCATCACAACTTTAAAATGTAAATTAGGGGGCCGTTTCTTTATTTATCAAAAAAACATATGTTAAGGCACACATATAATATTTGAGAATTCATGTACATATGAGAATGATAAAGAGAGATATAAAAATATAACGCCGTTAGTACTAGAGAATGATAAAAGCCAACGTTCATAAAAAAAACGAAATAAAACGAAGTCAAATAAATAACTTCGGGATTTTAAAGTCGCGTACAGCTACAAAGCATGAATACTCCAATAGTAAATCGATACACAACAGGATATCAAAGAAAATTTAAAATATTTTTCATATACAGCGGGAATTTCGATTTGAGGTTATCCGTGGCAAAAAAAACATCCATCCTTTACCGGGCTGCGAGCTGCGTTCGAAACGATTGAAAAAATAAATTGCGGCTTAGTGCATGAGCGTCGATTCGATCGGGTTTTTTCCAATAGCAAGATTTGATCCTACCTTTAAAACTTTTCTATTGGTGTAATTTTATACCTGTATATAAAACTCTTACAAACCTTCTCTCACTTATCCCATATTAAGTAACACTTTAAAACTGAGGAGGATTTGCTGGAACAAATAGAAATCTTGATCGAATTAATAAGGTATTTGGTTCGACTCCCGGGTTGGTAGAAAATTAGGTTACATTTACCTGATGAGGATGAGAGACACATGTTGAAGCCAAGATTGACATTGCTCTCTCTAATAAAATGGACGCGAAAAT